TTCATGAAAATTTCCTATATCTACATGCACATACCCTCCTTTTAGAACCTATAATCAGCAATTTACTATTAAACTATTTCCAAAGCAGACCTTTACTTCTTCCAGTTCAGGAAGCAAAACTTACAGATATCTTGTGGTTCTAGCACTAAGGCTTGTACAATGAGCACCTGGAGACACACTTAGAGAAGTTGGTTCTAAGTTAGAAAGTTCTTCAACATTCCAGTTCTAGGTATTCAGGTATCCAGTTAACCCTACATCAAAAATCAGCAATATTCCAATGTGATAGTCTTTGGTTGTGTATTCCATTTGCTTTTGCAGGGGAAACATTCCTGAATCACTTGACTTTTATCCCTTTACACAGTACAATTATTCAGGAATGAAAGATGTCATTTCCTTTGTTCTTAAGTCCAGTTTTAGGGAAGTATAAGGCTATTCGAGATGTACAATGAGGCAAGAGCCCATCTTATTACTGTCTCTATATTCTGCATCTTCAGAAAGTACCAATGTGTAATAGTTCCTTCTCAGTGAGCCAAGAAGATGGGGGGTGAAGAAGAAGGATGCCAAAAGGCATATTTAAATAATCCATTTCTTCTAACAAAGAGAGAAACACATAACTGTGTTTGGGAGAAATCTGGTTTCACAGTTATTTAGCTCTTGCAAAAGGTTAGCATATTTAATGCAAATTGTATTTTGCATTGACAAAGCAAACCTTAATAATTTTGAATAGAGGAGCAAATCCTGTGCCTCAAAACGTATCTGGGTAAATGAATCATGACTACTGACTGGTACACACTGCGTACCGATATAGTTAATCGGGACTGGCCCTTAAACTTTATGAAAAGCATGACTTTTGAGTCATGCCCAAATAAAGCCAAATAAGTAAAAGAATAAGATGGAATTGCTCTGGCCAGCAGTGACTCAACCTTAGCTATAATTTCATGGGAGGAGATAAGCTGAATCACATGGAAATTAACAAGAATACATTCCAATACATTTGGTAGAGTCATGCAGTCCTCTTGAAGGAAATGCTTTGGATTGTTTCTTTCAGTCATCTCACACACACACACACACACACACACACACACACACACACACACACACACACAGACATATGTGTACACACCTGCATGTGCACACACAAAATTCATTCTCACTCTTTGTAACCCAGACTTCAACTATGAATTCCTACCCAATTAAAAATGGTCCTGTCAAACTGAATATTACACAGAATTGTTTACAGTGCCTGAGTTTACATCCCCTCAGGAGCAACTATAAGTAACAGGTTCACATGAGGTGGCCGCCCAGCCCCATTACTATATCATTTAGAAACAGATAGTGTAGTTGTGCCAAGCAACTTTTGGTATTAACTTCACCATTCTGACAAAAGAAGGAAGAAAAGCAAGGAAGTGGCATTATTTATACGTTGTCTAAGTTCAGCTGGGAAATTTCTTGTTAGGGTTCTAAATGATCAGACCATCATGATATACTTGACTTGTAAGTATACGAGTGAGATACACTCTAAGCGGTAAGTACGTGTTTTGAAATGACTCTGTTTCAAGTCTCCTCCTTTTAACTGGGAAGACTGCTGGGTGACCCAGGCAACTTAAGAATGAAAGCAGCAAAAACAAATATCCAGTAGAAATGAAACCCAGGTAATTACCTATCAAATTTATGAAAGCAATGTTACCCTCTGCTCTTTCCTACTTGTTCTTCTGGGTTAACTTTTCCTCTCATCCTGAATCACATAGAAAAACTAGATCTATGAGCTAACAGCTCATCTCCATCCTTCATGCTATTTGATATGTGTATACAAAAGGAAGCTAGGCCTTTTTCAGCACAAGTAGAAATAACCTCAAGTAAACAAGTATCTTTCATATGTTGCTGGAGATTCGTATTGTTTTCCCTACAATAGCTCTGGCCAGCATCGCCTATTTAAAAGACAGGATTGGGAATCAGAATGCTCCATGGCTCTAGTACTATTCTCAGCTATCTATATGAGATGTCAGATAAAACCTCTCTAGCTCTCAGCAACTTGTGTAATTTAGATACTACTAGGTCTTTCAGAAATATGAAAACTGATATACCGGCAGAAATGGGAATCCCAATAAGAATTAAAGAAAACTGAAGGAAGTATAGGCTTTTGTTAATAATAGCAATATTGATTTTCTAACTTATATGTGTTACATATTAATATGTTATATAAACTGTTATATATGTTATATACTGAGAAGAACCTGGGTTAGAGCATATCAGAAGAACTCTACCATTTTCTCAAATTTTTAGTGCCCTTAAAACTGTTCTTTAAGGGCTGGGAAGGTGGCTCAGTGGTAGAGTGCTTGCCTTGCATGCATGAGGCCCTGGGTTGGATTCCTCGATATCATATAAGCAGAAAAAGCTGGAAGTGGTGCTGTGGCGCTAGCCTTGAGCTGAAGAGCTGAGGGACAGTGCCCAGGCCCAGAGTTCAAGCCCCACAACTGACAAAAACAACAACAACAACAACAAATTGTTCTTTAACAAAAATGAAGTCTATTTTTGAAAGATGACCCAAGTGGAATGCCTTGCACATAGCAGGCATTTGAAAAATAGTGTGTGATACAAAGTATTTGGTTTTGTAGAGTGCACTGTATTTTGTACAATAAGCTTTTTCTACCCAATTCAAATTGTCTTTACATAGATAATTCTGCCTTCCCCTTCAACCTACTCTTTACATCATTTTACCTCTGGCTTTCTCTAGTGCATTCATTCCTAGTCTACTACAAACTCATACAGTTCACAAGTAACTCATATTTCTCCAAGACTCATTTTAGCTCATCAGTTCTTTTTGCTGGCTTTTAATTTTACAATGATTATTGTAAATTTTTAAAATTGCTTCCAATGTTGTTTAAAAAATAATAACCTGCATTCCAAACTTTCTACTTGGAGAAAAAGAACCAAAGGATAGTTTTCCAGGAATGCATTAGAATCTTAAACATGGAGTTACCAGGAAAAGTTATTTTCTTTTATAATAAATATATACATATTTTTTCTCAATGTAGCCAAAAACCCTCCAGGCAGCTTTGCTAGGACATATGTTTAGCAATAACTTTTTGTGATTACTAAAAATAGTTTGAGGAAAGGGCATCATTACCAGTCTACCCTGGAGTTTCTCTGATGTTAAGGTCATGTATAAAAACAGAACCAGCTTGCCTCTCCAATAGCAACTTTGAATGGATTTAGGTAAAACACAAATCAGATCAGAAAAATCTGACTTTATAATGATCTTTCTCAGGTGGCTAGAGTTTCTGTTGGGACTGAATCTGTGGATTGCCCTCCTCATTTTAGTACTTGATCTAAGCATTTACTTAAAGGACAGAAATATATAGAGCCCTGGATGTAATGTTTTATTATTTGCTTTTCTCCTTCTCCTGTCGGAACAGTTTCCTTTGCAAAGGGATAAGACATCTTTGCTTGGTGCTGTCCTTCTTGGAATAGATTTTTGAGATGGAATTTCCAAAATGCTATGCAAACCTATTTACCATAATAATTCCAAGCTGAAATATCAGGTCCTGTGGGACCAACACCCACCTTAAAAAAAAAAAAACACCTAAAAAACTTTTACTACTGACAAGAGTTCTCTGCTGTGTAGTCCAAAATGCAGTGGACATGCTAAGGGTCATTGGGGGATGGGGGGTGTATGTACCTCATCTGCCTTCTCTCACCTAGGGAAGGAATCTGTCGGTAAAACTGACATCCGGGCTTGTGACAGCTGCAAGTAATCAGCAGCGCTGGGTGATGTGTGTACACACACAAGCAAAACAAACAGAGAAACCTGTGCTACCTCAAGATAAGGATGTAATCTAAATACAGGAAAAGCTAACTCTTCACTACCCACACCTATAATTCAGACGTCAATGGCAGCAACCGAAAAAGCCACTATTTAAAGAAGCAACTTTGATAGGACTAGGGCCTCCCCTGGTTTTTCTGAAGGCTAAAGGGTGCAGAGTCATCTCCAAGAGACAAAAGAGAATGTTGACTTTCCTAAGTCACTCCAGTTGGGCACCTGGCTGCTTCCTGCGCACCCCCCCCCCCCTCCCACCCCCTCCACTGCCCATTATCTTGCATCTACCCTTCTTCCCCTCCTTTCTGGGGCTGGAGAAATCATGCGCACCCAACCCCCATCAAAGCAGCTCGGGGCCGCTTTATCCTGGCCCCAGTCTCAGCCACACAAAGTCTTTGATGCCTGTCATTGCGAGGCTTTTCTGCAGTTCACCGCCGAGCTTGGAGGGGCTGGGCGAGCCAGAAGGTGGCGGCGAAGTCACCTTGGGAAGAGGAGAGGGTCAAAGTGGGGGGGGGGGGGGGCAGAGGTGCTGACCCCGGTACACAAGGGCGCGAGATCAAGAGGGCCGCGTGGGGTCGGTTGAAAAGGCGAAAGGTGGGTTAGAGAGAGCCGTGGGCAGGGGAGGGCGCTCCGGCGACCCCGGCGTGTGATCTGCAGACCCGGCTAGGCGTGGGGGCGCCCTTCGCAGAGTCACGGGCAGCTTCGCCTTCCGGGCTTGCTTTTCCCGGGCTGCGCTCCGTCCGCACCAACCGCACCGAGGCAGCTCCGCGGCGCCGCCCGCCCTCCCGCCACCCGGGCGCGGGTACCTGCCGGGCGCGCCCGCCCAAGCGCACGCCCAGGAGGGCGGGCCCGGGAGCTGAGCGCAGCCGCCCGCCGCGGGAGAGCGCGGGGAGCCCCGCGACACGGCCAGGCCTCTCTGGGCAACGCGGGCTGCTCGGCGCTCCCCGAGCCTCGCGGTTCACACAGCGGGACCGAGTTCTGGGGTCAGGGGGCCCGAGGATGCCCAGGCCCGGCCCCTAGCGGGTCCCGAGCAGCCCCGAGCCGGCGTGGGCCTCGGGGGACCTCGCAGCCCCTTCTCCAGGGCGCGGTTCCCACCCCTCCCCACCCCCGCTCCCATTGTTCGCCCCGCCCGCCTGGCGACGTCCCGGCGCGGCTGCCCGGGCCTGCCCCGGGCGCCCCTTACCTTCTGCTGCCGGCGAGCCATGTCGGTGGGCTGCTTGGCGTTGAAGGGGTAGGCGATGCAGCGCATCACGAACACGTACAGCTGCAGCCTCTTCTTCCTCTCCTCTTCCTCCTTCTGCAACCTCTCCAACTCTTCCTTCTCCTTCTCGCTCACCACCGACGGGCTGGGGCTGGAGGGCCGGCCGCCGCCGGCGCGGCTGCTGGGCTGCAGCCCCCCGGCCCCGCCGCCGCCGGCGCCGCCGCTCCCGCCGCTGCCCCCGCCGCCGCCGGCGCCCACCCCGGCCCCGGCGCCGCCGCCGCCGCCGCCCCCCAGCCCGGCGCTGCCCGCCGAGCCTTCGCTCGTGCGGCTGGGGGAGAGGCGCGCTCCGGACGCGGCCGAGCCGAGCACCTCCTTGCCGCTCTCCTCCTCCACGATCTCATCGGATTCCTCTTCGCTGGACGAAGGGTCCAGCATGGTTGCGCTTGGGGAGGAAAAGGCGGGTGGTCCTTAGAGTCTCCCCCCCTCCGGGCCCGGTTTGGGGGTGCAAAAAGGTGGTAGTGGGGTGAGGTGCGGGGAGGGGGGGAAGCCCGCTGGAGGCAGCCGGGGATCGGCTCTTCCCCGGGATGGACGCTTCTTCCTAGGTCAGAGAGCTAACGCGCTGCTGCTTAGCCTCGGCCGCCGCGAGACTGCTGCTGGCTTCCGCCCGGCGAGCGCCAGCTGGGCTCAGACCCAGGGGCGCGCGAGGGGAGGAGAAGGAAGAGGCGCGCGTGTGGCTCCGAGGTGGGCCGGGGCAAGAATCAATCGCGAGCCCCGAGCCCGCAGCCGGATGCCATCTGCAGCCGCTGAAGGAGGCGCCTCCAGAAAAGATGCCGAGTGTTGCAAGCTGTCGGTGCAGCCAAGAGCCGGAGAGGCATCTTGCCGATTGGGGAGGGAGCGGCGCTTACGTGTTTATTGGCTTAACTCTCCCGTGTCCGCGGCGGAAAGGGCGGCTGCAGAAGGGCTGGGGTGAGGGGAGAGCGCCGTGCGCTCTCAGAGCCTCAGCATCTCCAGGACGGAGGGACCAGAACGTCTTCTTACCTTCCCTGTCCCCTGCCGCCTGCCCTTTGCCCCTTGATCCTTTTTCTCCTTAATTGACCGCAATCAGTGCCTTCCCCTCCCATGGACAAAAAAATAAAAATAAAAAGTTCTTGGGGTGGAGGAGGGAACCTTGAGAAAGCAATGGTAACTTCTAGCTAAGCGGAGAGCAGTCTGTCTGGAGGTGTTGTATCAAGAGGCCTAAGCCCAACGCAGGGAGATCCTTAACCCCGAGAAAGGGTCCATCTTCACACCTGGAGGTGGGGGGGGGGGGGACTGCTTGGAACAATTCCCTCCACGTGTGCCCAGTCGAAGTCAAATACAAGCGAATCTGGTTTGGAGTGTATGGGTGTATGGACCTGCATGCTGCTCAAACTATTTCAGCAGACGTCCCCCTTTATTTAGCTCCATGATGAGCACGCTTCAATTTACTTTGATGATCAGAGATTACTTTCTGGTGGGCGGGGAGGGGGGGGGGTGCCGAGCCTACCAGTGACATGCCAGGGTTTCTGGTTGTTCAGGCCTTTCTCAATGTTGGCACGAGGAAGGATTGGAGAGAAGTGGGGAGAACCTCCTCCCTCCCCCGCCCCCATCTCCACACCCCCCAGCCCAGACAAAGACACCCCAAGAGTTCAGCAGTGTCAATAGCTAATGACTGACTAGTGGATACACTGTCTTCACGGTACACGTATCTGGGGTGATCTATTAACACAAAGCTGTGGAGGGTACCTCTCCTCTTTTTCACTTAGGCCAATAAATCCAGAGCTTAGGAGCTGGCCAGAGTGCTGAATCTAGTCAGGGACCTGCAGATGCCTGGAAAATAAAGGCCTACCCTTCAGGTTTTGGACTTGAGGCTATTTGGAGTCCCCTCTCCTTCCCCCCATCCCCTATATTCATGTAATTCTAATTCCCTTATTACCTGTCATGTGTTTTCAAATTCCCCAGGATTTTTATCATCATCTTTTGACAGTCTGAGGAAGCTTTCTGGGCTAATGGGTTTGGGACCTGACAAATTAATGCAAAACAACATCTAGTTTCACATTCACCCTCAAAATTATTTGTTTGTTTTTAAATTAATAATACAAACCTTCAATCTTTTTGTTTGCTTGTTTGTGGTGCTGGGTATTTTTTTTTAAACCCAAAACATCATGCTTTCTAGGCAAACTCTACCACAGAGCTACCACTTAACACTTGTTTTCATCTTTTTAAAATTTTATTTTGTTGTAAAGATGCTGTACAGAGGGGTTATAGTTACATGAGTACGGCAGTGAGTACATTACTTGTCGATTATTGTTATCCCTTCCCTTGTTGTTGACCTACTATCCCCCCCACTTCTGTGTGTGTGTGTGTGTGTGTGTGTGTGTGTGTGTGTGTGTGTGTGTGTGTGTGTGTGTGTGTGTGTTGGTTGTGGGGCTTGAACTCTGGGCCTGGGCTCCCTCAGCTCTTCAGCTCAGCGCTTGCTCTATCACTTGAGCCACAGCACCACTTCCGGCTTTTTCTGTTTATGTGATGCTGAGAAATTGAACCCAAGGCCTCATACACGTGAGGCAAGCACTCTACCACTGAGCCACCTTCCCAGCCCATTTTCATCTTGTTTTTGAACAGTTAATTTTTTTGCCTCAAACCTTCATCCTCTTGCTTTTGTCTCCTTAACCACTGGGATTACAGGATTGTTCCACTTTGCCCAGTTTATAGTTTGGACACTATATATGCATTGTATTGGCAAATATAATGAACTCCTCAATTTGTCTCAAGAATATTCAAGGAGGCTTAAACAAATTTTTACAAAAATTCTTTTATAATTTACTTTTTCAAGTGGTGTGCACTGCTCTATGAATATACAAACCATCTCAAAGGTGTCTAATCAACGTCAATTCAATGTCCTTGAAGAAAGTTCAGTGTCCTTGAAGATAACCTAGCTCTTAGTTACTGCTAAAGATAAGATGTGCCAACCAGAGCTCTTTAGGCAATGGGACTGGTACTCATTTTTATGAACAATGGAAGAAATTAACCCCACAACACATCAAAAGTTTCTTAAAGTTAGCCTACCTCTTGGCAGCATTCATCTTATGTTTTTTTTAAAAGTACAATTTTACCATAGATTCCAGTACATTAGTGAATTTATCTCCTCAGCTAAGCTGTATGGGGGTTCTACACATTTGCCTCTACGTCCAATTTGACTTTGTAAGAGCTCAGATGCTTTTTAGGTGATGAAATAGATTTTAGTTACACATCATAGACTTCTACTTTTAGGGATCAAGTTATTATACTGATTCTCACCCACAAAAGGCAAGTGTGATTTCCAGGCCACAATTGTGTAAAAGGCCAAATTCTAAGGGAGTCCCTGACTCAGTGGCAACTGACATGTTAGTGAAAAGCAATCACTTCTTCATCTCACTCACCAAAAATAAGCAAAGACTAGACAGAATGGCCATGTTTATGTTTTTGTAGATTTGTTACTAGAAGACAGTCCAGGCAAGTTAAAAGATTCTTAAATGTCATATTATCTAGAAGCAATCACTTCATGTCAGCATTTTCTAAAGATTTTCTGACATTTTCTAAAAATTTTTAAATTATAAAAATAGACTTGACCAAAAAAGTGGGTAGATTTGAATATAATAATGGTATGCCTCAGGTCATGTTAAATGCTTGGGCTCTCAACCCAGGCAAGTTCTGCTCTACTCATAGTATAGTTATCCTGAGCAGATTATTTGCTGACCCAGCCTCAATTACTCATCTGTAAAATAGGGGAGTACTCATTTCCCCTCAAATGACAAAAGACATTAGATGATGAAAGGGGAAGGTAGCTTTTTAGCCTTAAGTATTTTTTCAAGTGATGAGAGAGGGACTTGTAATAAATGAGATTTGCATACAAATAATGGAAGAAAGAAACAAAGTAAAAGATAAATAACCTGGAAATAATAGGTCTTGAATAATAGAAGGTTCTTATTTATTTGATTCTTATTTTGTCTTAGCTAGTATTTTCATGGACTTAGAAAATGATTTGCTTTTAAAACCCAACTTTTCATCATTATTCCTTATCACATGATGATTCTTGCTATGGTGAAATAACATAAGGATGGAATTAAAGGATAATAAGACTATATTACAAAGATAATATAATCAAGGCACACACACACAAATTTTCCTTTGCCTCAGGCAACAAAACATGCGGTAAATGATAAATAATGCTCTTGGTAAGTTCTTCTCATTACTTAGGAAAATGGAATCGAAAAATGGAACGACACATTTTATGATAGATATTTGGTTTGAAGTCTGAAAACTGACTCCCCAAGAGGAACCTTGTTTATTGGATACATAATTTCTTTGACTAGAAGTGAGAGTGAGGTATAGTTGGGATTGAATGCAGTTTGCTGGTATTTACATGGACACAGGATAAATGATAATTTTTTGCCCTGACTCTGAGGCCAGTTACATTCCAGCAAATAAATAGGGAAAATACCCAAATAGGCTGCTTCCTTATCATATGATACTAGGTGTATCATTTGTCCAATTAACCTAAGTCTCCAATTAATTTTTTCCTGTTAAATGCTGGTAACATTACATCTTTAATTCCTCAAAATAACGTTCTGAGTTGAATTGGGTTATGTTTGTTTAATTGGTCTCACAAACTGAAGTAGCTTTGTAGCTGGGAGACAATCTACAGATTGTAAATAGAGGTATTTCCTATACTAACTAGTTTTAGTTTCAGTTAACTGAAAATAGATTGTACCTTAATTTAGACTACCCGAAAGCATATGGATTTCAATTAAGCTTTTGGAAGTTGGTAGTGGATTAGAAAAGAAGGGGAGATGAAAAAAGCCTAATGGATGAAGGGAAACAACAAACGTAAAATGAGTCCTTACCGATTAAATAGTACCCTGTGGGTTATGGATTAAGAGGGAGAGTCATATTGGGGAAAAAGGTTCTAAATTAACTTTAGTATCCACATATCAAACCAAACTACAAGACAATATCGCTATAGATTTAGGCCTCAGTATTGCTGTAAAAGTATCATTCCTTAGGGCTGATATGGTGGTACACACTTATATTCCCAGTTACTTAGAAGCCGAGATAGGAAGCTTGTAATCAGAGGCTAAGCCTGGATAAACACCTGAGCCCCTATCTGAAAAAATATACTAAAGAAAATTGTGACTCAAGTTGTAGAACACTTGCCCAGGAAAGACAAGGCTTTGAATTTAAAACTTCACTACTACAAAAAAAGAACAAAAAATACCACAGAAGGATCATTCCTTTGCTTAGAGGAATTTATATTAGAATCCACTATCCCAGTCCATTTTCTGTAAAAATGTCATTATAACTAAAAGATCCATTATAATGGAGTTTGATACGTTTCAACAAGGTGCTTATAAGCACAGAATACACATCTTTCTTTGTTTTTTTTGGGGGGGGGGTCCAGTTGTGGAGGCGGAACTCTGGGCTTGGGCGCTATCCCTCAGCTCTTCAGCTCAAGGCTAGCACTCTACCCACTTGAGCCACAGTGCCACTTCCAGCTTTTTTTTTCTGCTTATGTGGTGCTGAAGAATCGAACCCAGGGCCTCATGTATGCAAGGCAAGCTCTCTACCACTGAGCCACCTTCCCAGCCCATGTCTTACTTTCTTGTCTCTCATTCTCTGTAGGTCTACAGGGAGATCAACCAACCCCTGCATATAAACCCCAGAAAGTCATCCTGATGATAACTGAGACAGGGCTTCATATTTCCTCAACAAAGAACTCTGAAAATACTGTACTGAAACATATTTTCTACCTAAGCAGAATCTCTATTCTCAAATGCCAGAATT